AAAATAAATATTAATGATATATTTATTACTTTTTAGCATATTTAAAAATTATAATATAATATTTATAATTTATAATTAATTTTTTAACAAGCTACAAAAGCAAGAATTGAAAAATTAGAAGTTATTTATGATAATAAATTAAAATTTCTAATATTAAATTTAAATTTTTAAATACAAAATAAATATTAATGATATATTTATTACTTTTTAGCATATTTAAAAATTATAATATAATATTTATAATTTATAATTGTTTAACAAGCTACAAAGGCAAAAATTGAAAAATTAGAAGTTGCTTATGATAATAAGTTAAAATTTCTAATATTAAATTTAAATTTTAAATAAAAATAAATATATTTCTTTAAATCTATTGCTTTTTAGCTCATTTATATAATTAATAATTATTATTTACAGTTGATACTATCTAAATGCATAGTATTGATAAACAAAAAAAATCACATTTTATATATTTAAACAGTATTCACCAATCGAATGCTTTAATCTTAATTTCTAAATGCATACTATTAGTAAATTTTTAAAATTTTATGACATTTAAACAGTACCAAATGAATTCTTATTTGCAGGAATATAGCTTTATTAGCCACGCAAATACACGTAATACATGTACACTCACCAATTTTGACCAATCAGAATGTGATCTACCTACAATCAATAGGAAACCGGGGGGGGGGGGGGGGGTGAAAAATTAAACATCATCAAGCATTGCTGCTTATTAAGGACAATGTCAACATTACTAATACTGTATCTAAAGTTTAATATAAATTTCTGATGCTTTGTTTTTCTATATATAGAGGAGAATAAAGATGTTAGCACATCAACATAACCGTTACTGTTAGAAAAAATAATCAAATCAAACAACAGAAAAAAAATATTATTACATGTATTTGGTTACGTTATAACCACTAAATATGCATCATAGTATTTGCGCAGATACTGGTGACGAGTATCGGGATAAATGTTAGTAGCAATATTTACATACCGATACAGTATAAGGAAATGTTTTACGTGTTTTTATCATTGCTAATATTTTGAACAAATTAAGGCATAGTATTACTAAGAAACGCATTGATTGGTCATAAACGACCGCTTACAACAAAAGGTTCTCTTGCCAAAACATGTTTCATAAAAAATAATGAGAGTGTTAATCAAATAAGTTAAAAAAAAATAGAACAAGAATTATACGCATACTGGAAAGCAGCAACAGTCGAATTATGCGTGTATCGACAGCACCACCAAAAAGTTGACGAAGAATATGTGGAAGAAATACATCGCAAAATAATATTAATATGTGATCCGACGAATATGATTCGTGAGAATCTAATCGATGGATCGTTGAGTCCACAAAAGTTTGTGACGGATACATTGGCTGGAAATTTTGGCGATAGCGGACAGGTAAACCGTCGTATTTTATCTTTAGAGATTCGTAGAGTCAGAGTTTTGTTTTCTGATAGTTTTATTTGTATTACGTAAAAGAGATTACAACGACCTATAGTACGGTGCAAACGGAAGCTGTCATCATCATGCGTTGAAAAAAGAGACTCGGATTCGTAATTAATACATATCAAATATAAAAACATTAAAAACCTAAATATTATATTAACATTTTATAGTAGAAAAGACACAAAAAATAGTTACTATTATTTAACAAGGACATTCATTCTTTTTGCAAAAAAAAAATTAATTTATATTTTTTTCTTTGATGACAACACTCAATCCTTTACAAGTTCAAAAATCACAATGAACATGGAAATGTAGTCTGCAGGATTCTCATTTCATTTCTATACTGTATTATATAGCGATAGGATATATGTAAAGCCCAAAATACAATGAACATATACATGAAACCTATCTATTATTCACTACTCGACGTATAAGAATATGCTACATAGTTCACTGGTAGACACGCATCTTGTCTACATATTAACCAGAGCCATTTAGAAATCACCTGACAATTAAATCAAACCATAACGGTAGCGTTAATTTACCTATAAACAGCATACTCCTCATAATTCAACATTGCACCCCCGTGTGGACAATATCCTGACAAATAGATAATATAGGTAAATAAACACGCACGCATTAATTAATTGAAAAGCAAGTAATAAATTACCAACTCGGCCCCAAGTCGAATTGTATCCTGCGGGCGGACCGCTCGCATTTTGCGCTACGATTTCCGGTTCCCACGGTTTACCGATAATTACCTTTTTAGCAAATGTTAAATAATGAGCACTTCATCAAAAAAGAGAGTTCAATTACTCAACTTTAGACAGAAACATAATTCTGCAATATCGTCCACTTTCATTCGGCAAAGACTTAGCCTAAAAAATAAAAGCGTCACAAGATACATTGTCAAATTATAAAAATTAAACCAGTATCAAAATCCGTAAACCTACTCCAAGGTGTCCATAAAAATGCGCTTTACTCGAATGCGGCGTGAAATACAATCCCTGGCCCAATCTTTGAAACGTTCTTCCTTGATGATTAATTCCCACTTTCTCCATCGAAAAAGAATTCATCAGGATGCCACAACCAGGACAATTGTTGGTAGCACATGGCGAAGACACAATTGTTGGTTTGTCATAAAAGATACAGCATAATTGGTCTGTTCCGTGCCAAAGCAACTTTTCGTTCGCTTCTGGAAGACCTAGAGCTTTATTTTTAATTTGAGATTCGACTTGAGATTTGTAGTCGTTATATTGTCGAATTATTTCGAGTGGGAAAATGATATTATAAATGGCTTCTACTCGTAAGCCTTTACAAAGGTTATAAACAAGAAAAATGAAAGATTAGAGTAAAATTTGCATTTTTTTATCAATAAAAATTTCTATGATATTCACCTTGCGCATTCTTCTTAACCCAATCCTTCAAAAACTTTGTTTCAATCTTATTATACTCGGCAGTACCTTTACGTAAAGATATTAAATGAGTGTACCTCGTTGAAGAAGATGGTGAAAGAAGAGAGGTGAGGGAGAAGGAGGAATCACTTTTTATTTTATGCGTGCTGGGAAAAGTCGAAGGATTTTCTTAATGTTAAATAATAAAATCGAATATTAATCAAAAAATTCGTGCTATATTATTACTCAAATTACTAAAGATAAAAAATTCACCTTTCAAGATTGTGTAGTGTGTGTCACACAAAGAAGTTTCTTGGTCAGAACAAGTTTTTTTGCAATTAAAGACAATACAACTCATTTTCACACTTGGATAAAGAATAAAAGGAGACGAATTGGTTGTATTTATGTCTTCATGTGTGAAAAACAAATAGTCACAAAAATCGATTTATCAAACAATGACAACAAAAATAATGATATAATAAGCGAGCGTACTATATGAGCTATTATATGCATGTGTTTAACGGATATAACTATAAGACAATAGATCAAACACATCACTAAATTACTCTCAGAAAGCTTTTTAAATACGTAAAACTTTCCCATAAAAAATATTGATTAATTTCCAAATTCTTTCGCAAAAACTTACTTAAAGGTCACTTAAAAAGTTAACAGAACTTAATGGAAAAAAAATAATAAATAAATAAAAATATTATCTTCTATTAAAATTCTATCTTATCAAACAAATAATATGACAAATATTAGCGATATAGAAATGCCAGACGCTAATAAAGGGGGCGAAAATGAAATCTCCAAAACTGAGAACAAACCCGAATCGTCACGATTTAACCACCGTAATTCTAATTTATTTAAGAATTAACATTTTATTTATTATTATTTTAAAAAATAATTCTTTGTTTTGCAGCTAGCCAAACTGCTGAAATTACATTAGGTGACGACATATCCTATAATGAACATCTCTGTCAAAAATTCGGTTCCATTCCAATGACAACATCTGCTCCTCCTAATAAAACTGCCACCACAAATTCTGAAAATTCCTCGCCACAAACGGAGAAGAAAATTGAGTGGAATATGGCAAACCATACACAACAAACTCCGCCGTCTCCCACTGTTAATAATAATGGTCCAGTTATCCATAATAATAATCCTTTGGTGAATGCCATTCCCCGTGGAGAAGATAGTAATCACGAAGGAGCAGACGATGACGATGGTAGTGGTTATGAGTCTCAAAATACTCTAAGTCCTATGTCTAAAAGGACCAAAAGACAAAGAAAAAAGGCGGATAAACAGGCATCATCCATTGAGCAGAACAAATCCGCACAAGCTTCTCATGGTGGTTTTTCACAAAATCCTCAAGCTGGTGTTGTTTCACAAAATTCTCTAAAGCCTCGTAAGCAACAGATTAGAGAACGAACATCCACATCATCCATTGAGCAGAAAAAATCTGCACAAGCTTCTCATGGTGATTTTTCACAAAATCCTCAAGCTGGTGTTGTTTCACAAAATCCTCAAGCTGGTATTGTTTCAGAAAATTCTCAAACGCCTCGTAAGCAACAGATTAGAGGACAAACATCCACATCATCCATTGTGCAGAACAAATCCGCACAAGCTTCTTATGGTGTTGTTTCACAAAATCCTCAAGCTGGTGTTGTTTCACAAAATTCTCAAATGCCTCGTAATGCTCCTTCACAAAATTCTCCTTCACAAAATCTTCAACCTTCTGGTTTTCCTTCACAAAATCTTCAATCTTCTCCTGGTTTTCCTTCACAAAATCTTCAACCTTCTCCTGGTTTTCCTTCACAAAACAAGATTTTCCCTGAAAACTATCCTGAAAGCTCGAACGAGAAACCAGAAGCGCAACAGAATAACAATAATTATGATAATTATAATAAGTATAATTATAATTACAACAAGAACAACAACAGCAACAGTAATAGTAGTAGTAATAATAATAATAATAATAATAATAATAATGGGGACATGGAGCTAATGAATTTTTATGATGATATTCTCACGGAGTCAAATTGCGAAACAATAACCAAACTAGCAGGTCCATGGTTCTCGAAAGAACCATTTCACTCCGTTGCGTTGTTTATCAATTTCAATGTTGACTACAGAAGACTTCTACCAGATAGAGCAGAATTCGCCGAACACGGCTTCACCCACATAATCGAGACTTTCGGATACGAAACGCGTCATCAAACTATACATGCCATAGACGCTGCCAAAGAATTCACACTTGAATGCGCGATCGATTGCTGGCGTAATAACAAAAATCTTACACTATTCTTCGCGACATGTGTGAAAGATAACATCCACACCGTTTCTGAATTTGTTAAAAGCATTCGTGAGGTTTGTGATAAAGAGACTCTTGACATTATTGTAATACACCCAGATCTCCACAACCCTTATGTATGTGAAACATTTTGCCGTGCTGGAGCGACTTCCGTAGTTTATTCCCAAAGTTTATACGTGGCTAGTGCTATCATACATATTTTAGAAGCTTCTACGGTAAATTTTTGTTTTTCCACCTGATTAAATAATTCATCATTTTTGATAATAATTTTTATTAAATTTAGAAAAAACGCGCAGATGGCATGGACAAAGTGGATTTTTATAATAAGGAGGAACCTTATTATGAATTTACCAATTTTTATCGAGCTAAAGTGGAAATTGATAATGAAATTTGGTTTACCACTGAGCACTATTGTAAGTATTTTTTTGTTAGTCTATTTCAGTCTTAAATTAAAATTATTTCTTCATTTATTTTACAAACCAAATACAGTCCAAGCACAAAAATTTGAAAGCATATATACACAAAAAAAAATTCGCGATGCCTATACGGCCCGTGATGCATTTAATATCGCCCGTGCAAGGAACCACGAAAAAAGAATAAATTGGGAATCACCTGATGTACCAGACGGTATCATCTTCAAAGAAGTAGTAATGGAACACGCACAAATACAAAAATATACTCAAAACCCACTACTGAAATATAAACTGTTATCAACCGCCACTGCTGCTTTATTCGAACACACGTCGAATGATAGTTACTGGGGAGACGGTGGAAATTTTCGACAAGGACTGAATCGTTTGGGTTACATTCTGGAAAAAGTCAGGTCACAGTTGATGAATGAGGAAATTAAGAGGCTCGCTGATAAATATAAATGCTCGGTGCAGCAAGAGTGGATTGTGCCGCAATTGCGCAAACTAGTTGGGTAAATGAAGAGAGTTAGATTTAAAATACTTCTTTTTTTTTATTTTTCACCCATCTAACAATATTACTTTAGTTTATATTATTACAATTTTCTTCTGTTATTTTTTTATATTATTATTGCTAGTTTGAAAGAATAAAGTATACATGTATGTTATTTACAATGATAATAATCATTCATTTAATTTGCAAGAAATCCTTGATTCTTTCGGTACATGTTTCTGAGATCGATTTATGCGCTATTTTAGATTGTTATTAATATTCTTTGACATAAAAAACATTCAATCCGTCTCTAAATTTGATTATATAAAAACCATTGTGGAAATAAAGAAAATTATGATCACCTTTAATATATATATATATATATATATATAACAATTGGCGCTCTTTTTCGTAGATAATAATTGCTGTTTGTTTCGTTAGAAATTCTACTTTATTTTCAAAATGACCGCTAAAAGACCGCTAGTTATTTATTATACTATATAAATCTGTCAATATATTTGTCTTTCGATATCTTACCAATCACACATGAGTAGGTTCGGTTCAATGTGCATGTACAGTGGCTCAGGGAATAAATAGAACACGGAAAGTTTTACGAAAAAAAGCTCTAGTTCCTCTAACCTCGATTAGATGTACCTGATTTCTATATTCATTATAAAGCTAATAACCTAGAGAAAACTAAAGAAGGCCTAAAAAATATATTTAATATTGCCATTCTAAAGAAATTGAGTGATCTACATGAATATTTGAAATTTTAACTCCTATCAAAGCGGATTGACCTAATAAAAAATGTGCTTCCTAATAAGAACTATTTACATACCAATTTCAGTTAAATTGATACCAAATTCGTTTAGTTATTAGATCCTGTCGAGTTAGTAAAAACAATTTAATTATCTCTTTAATTAGCATCGATCTGGTACTTCGGGATCTAATAACTAAACGAATTTAACTGAAAATTGTATGTAAATAGTTCTCATTAGGAAGCGCATTTTTTATTAGGTCAATCCGCTTCAATCCTCCCTGATAAGAGTTAAAATTTCAAATATTCATGTAGATCACTCAATTTCTTTAGAATGGCAATATTAATATATTTTTTAAGCCTTCTTTAGTTTTCTCTAGGTTATTAGCTTTAAAATGAGTATAGAAATCAGTTACATCTAATCGAGGTTAGAGGAACTAGAGCTTTTTTTCGTAAAACTTTCCGTGTTCTATTTTTTCCCTGAGCCACTGTATGTGTTTGGTGGAGAAAATTCACGACAACATTATTGAGATATGTAATCAATATACAGTATTACATATTTCTTTGTATGTGTATGTATCAATGCTAATATCGACCCACGTACTGATATATTCTTGTATATCAAAAGAGAATTATAATTGATCTTTTGTCAGTAATCATTGCTTGGTTAATGGAAGCTATAGAAACTGTTGCCTATACGTATTAGAAGTATTTTTAGCATTAAATACAGTAACACATGCCGTTACGTAAAACTTGTTATCAGCAGAAATTTTATTGCGCTAATGCACAAATTTTTATATTCATTGTATATACCCTAGCATGGAATTGGTCTACGTCATCACGTAGATCCCGATCCGCGTGATATTGGGCAAGTATGAACCGTGCATGGGTGATTAAATAAATTCCGTCTGAAATAATATATAGTTTCTGCAAAAAATTCTGCAATATTAAAACATGTAATTCTGCAATAATACTTTAGATTCTGTGATAATTCTGCAATAATAATTCGAATTCTGTAATTATTCTGCAGTTTTTTTATTTATTAAAATATAACATATTCAATGATCTAAGTGAATCTTCAGAAAGATTTTTTCTATCATTAGATAGAATATTGTTATAGTTTGAAAAACTGCATTCTACAGTGTAACTAGAAATAGGCAACCACATATAATTCAAAGCTATATTAGACAATATGAAAATTGATTGATATTACCTCGCCAAAACTCATCTAAATCCAAATTTCACTCTTATTCCATCCACAATAAATGGCCCATTCCCGTAGTAAATCTTCGGAAGGTTCAGCAAATTCTTGAATAATAGAATATTGCCAAATATTTCTTCTTTCAATTGTACCAAAACAAGTATAAGCAGGATCAAATACTTGACATGCTTTGAATAAAGAATATGAAGGGTGTGTAGGAATATGTGAATTAAATTCTTTAAAGGACATTTCAAACCTTGATGCATTTTGCTTTTAACATGACCATCTACTGTTGATTTACGTTTCCATTCAACAGAAATATTAAAAAAAGTAGATTGTCATTAATATAAAGATGACCGGGAAATTCAGAAATACGAGTTTGAGGAGTGATTTTCTTATGTCGTGCCATCACAAAATTAATTTTTAATCAAAAAACGCGATTTTTATTCTAGGAGGACGTGTCAAAAAATTTGTACGCGCTTTTCTATATAAGAACAAGGGATAAGTTCGCAATTTCTGCAATCTCTGCAGTTTAATGTGATTTCTGCAACACAAAGTTTAATTAAACCCCGTTGATCTGCAATTTCTGCGGTTCTCTGCATTTTGCAGAATTTCATCGTCCACACAAGTTTGTCACACATGTACAACGACAGCCATTATCGTTTGTTTTATGAGTTTAAAGATGGAATCGAATATACTTCGTTGTTTCATATGTATTAAATGTATAATGAAAAGATACTGCTGGTAAGTGTACTAGTTGTCAAGAAAATAAATACTGTTTCAAATATCACAAATGAATTTATAAAGATGAATTGACTAGCGGAGATAAAGATATCGACAATCTAATAAAAGAATGCAACAAAATCAATAAGAAATATAAAAATATATTCGAATGGATTCCTTTTGAAAGATTTACCAATCTTGCAAAAGGCGGTTTTGGGTCAATTTATAAAGTAACCTGGTTGGATGGACCATTTGAATATGGTTCCCGCATTTATTATGATAAATGCTATCCCAAATGGAATCATGAAGAAAATAAATGGAAATGAAATGGAGAAAAAAAACTTGTGTTGAAATCATTGCATAATTTAAAGAAAATTACTCCAGAGTTTATACATGAGGTAAAAAATGAACATCCTATAAAAACTTTTTCAAAAATAGATTCAGACTGGGCTTAAATGCTATGATTACGGTACCAGGATAGCATATTATGGAATGGCTAAAAATCCAGTTACAAACGATTACTTGATAATAATGTCTTATGTATTCTATCTATGGTGACCTTCACAAATATAAAGTGAACTCAAAGATGGAATCAAATACACATGATTGTAATGAATGTACTGATTGTCAAAAGAATCGATACTGCGATGGGATTTTAGTTCACAATACTCATGATTGCGATAAATGCACTGATTGTCAAAATAATGAATACATGTACAGCTACGTTGACTGTTTCTTTTATCACAAACGAATTTATGTATAACGATGAATTGTCTAGCGGAGATGATGATATCGACAATCTAATAAAAGAATGCAACAATATTATTGAATAACAAATATTCGAATGAAAAAGTTTATTGACGTTGAATATTTTGCAAAAGGAGGTTTTGGGTCAATTTATAAAACAACCTGGTTGGATGGACTATTGAATTATAATGGCGACCATTCCATCTGGGATCATGAAGAAAATAAATTTAACTTTAAACGAAAAGGAGAAATTACAATTGTGTTGAAATCATTACATAATTCAAAACAAATTACGCCGGAATTTATACGCGAGGTAAATGAACGTTTTCTATAGTGAAAATTACTTTTTGTTCTAATAAAATCAAAGTTTCAAAAATGGATTAAGTTTGCTCTTAAATGCACTGACTCTAATTATAATAAATATTATGGAATAACTAAAAACCCAGCTACAAGCAAATATTCAATAGCGATGGATTATGCAGAAGATGGTAATCTCCGTAAATATATTCATTCCAACTATGAAAAAATTGACTTGGGGTCAAAAATTATTTTATTTACGTTGTATTACCATTGATCTAAAAAGAATTCACGAGGCAAAGTTTGTGCATTGTGACTTTAAAATCTACTCAAAAAATTTGTAGAGTTCTTCCTTATATGAATCCCGAGGTGTTAAATGGAAAGCCATACACTAAGGCTGCAGATATTTATAGTTTTGTAATGGTTATGTACGAGATAATAACTGGTAAACCGCCATTCAGTGAACGAAGTCATGGTAGAGATCTCGTCTTAGACATCATAATAGATTACGACCTACGATACCAAATAATGTTTCCGGATGGTGCAAATTTATTATTGAAAAATGTTGGGATCCTATTCCAGAAAATAGACCAACTGCTGAGGAACTGAGTGACTTTATTGTCTCTATCCACTATGGATGGTTGCATTTACAGTACTACAGCTCGTTAGATTATCCTAAACCGGAAGAAGAAATTAAAGTGTGTCAAATTAGAAAAACAAAAAATTTGATAAAATTAAATATCAACAAAGCATTTCTACGAATATAAACAAAACTAACAAATTCACTCAAATGCAATTTTCACCAGTCGAATGTTTACTTCGAAATTAATATCAATTCCGCTTATTTTATATTTAATCCAAATGAATTTCAGATTGATTTTAAATATATCAAACATTTAGTGAAGGTAAACTTACATTTGATATTCTTTCCTTTTTCTCTTTCCTTAATTCAATATTTTTCTTTGGTGATAAAAACAGATTCCGATGTTAGTATATTAGTCTTACACGTGAAGAACTTCTCCCGCTAAATCACCAGCATCAACAATAACCCCTTCCAGAGCCAAGTGTAATCCCAAGCAACGGTGTTTATGACGCTCAGCATGAGGACATGAGAAAATAGAACAATTTGCGGTCAAGGTAATTTATTATTTATTTATACATTGCTTGTAATTATCAAATTTCTGAAAACAATTTAACAAGTGAGACCTTAGAATCTTGAAATGATGTCTCAAGCAAACAAAGTAATAATAATTCTCGATACTAATGGTGTTGATTCCACTGCTGCCAAATAAATTGTCAAA